AGAGATAAATTCATGCAATATGAAATAAACCCCATCTTGTTATCCTCGATGCAATGATGCAATATGTGCCTTCCTGCCCCTTCTGTCACTGGGAAAGGACACCGCAAGATCGAACCCAAAGCTAAGCACTTCTCCCATGGCAAGAACTACCAATCTAGTTGGCCAAACCAAATGGATAATTCGAAGAGACTTGCAAAGATAACCAATCATACATAAAAGAATTCAGAGAAGATTCAAATATTATTCATAGATAGACTTGATCATAAACCCACAATTCATCGGTCTCAACAAACACACCGCAAAAAGAAGAAGATTAAATCGAATAGATCTCCACAAGAGAGGGGGAGAACTTTGTATTGAGATCCAAAAAGAGAGAAGAAGCCATCTAGCTAATAACTATGGACCCGAAGGTCTGAGGTAAACTACTCACACTTCATCGGAGAGGCTATGATGATGTAGAATGCCTCCGTGATGACGGCCCTCTCCGGTGGAGCTCCGGAACAGGCCCCAAGATGGGATCTTGTGGATACAGAAAGTTGCGGCGGTGGAATTAGGTTTTTGGCTCCGTCTCTGTTCGTTTGGGGGTACGTAGATATATATAGGAGGAAGAAGTACGTCGGTGGAGCTTCGGTGGACCCACGAGGGTGGGGGCGCGCCTGGGGGTGTAGGGCGTGCCCCCCTTCCTCGTGCCCACCTCGAAGCTTCCTTGGCGTAGGGTCCAAGTCTCCTGGGTCATATTCAGGAAGAAAATCACGTTCTAGAAAAGGTTTTTTCCGTTTGGACTCCGTTTGATATTTCGTTTCTTCGAAACACTGAAATAGGCAAAAAATAGCAATTCTGGGTTGGGCCTCCGGTGAATAGGTTAGTCTCAAAAATAATATAAAAGTGGAAAATAAAGCCCAATATAGTCCAAAACAGTAGATAATATAGCATGGAGCAATCAAAAATTATAGATACGTTGGAGACGTATCAGACCGCTTGACAGATTTTTTGTGTTGGCATAGAGCCTGAACCGGAGGAAAGGATAATTACCTCTACATCGTCAGCCTGGCTGCCCTCCACGTCCTCCTAATAAGTATCATTGTCAATGAGATGCATGAAAAGGGAACCAAGCGAATCAAGTTCTACCTCAACTTCCGGTTCATCCGGGTCGTCGTCCAGTTCCGTACTCATGCGTTCATGTGCTTTCCGCTTTGTGGTTTTTTTAACGGCTTTGGTTTTAGGGCGGGCAGTTTTTGCCGCTTTCTCTTGAGGTTTCTTCTTCTAAAACGGATCATCACCCTGTTTAAAAGTAAAAAGAAGGGTATTCAAGGGTTGTACAGTCTAAAGATATCAAGGGTAAAGAGGAGGAACAATACTCACAGCAGGCAGTTTATTCTGCATGTAAAAGGGGTCTAGTCCGGTTTGGCGACATACAGCTTCCGATTCGTTCAATATCTTCTTGACGGCCTCAGCGACCTCTTCATCGGTTAGCTGAATGTTGGTATGACATTGGGAGTCCTCTACTTCACCAGTATACTCGCACATTAAGCCGGAGCGGCGACTTAACGGCAAGATGCTCCAAGATATCCAACAACGGACAAAGTCTACACCTGTTAAATCGTTGGCCAAGAAGGCTCTCAGCTTGGCGAGTTGAGGTGCATACGGGGCCCGTTCCTGGGCACTTAGGCGTTGTGGAAGTGGATGAGTATTGGCAAGCCGGTGGGCCCGGTAACCCGGCAGAGGATTTTTGTCTTCGGGGGAGGTGTCTTTACAGTAGAACCAAGTTTGATTCCACTCATTGGGGTGACTGTGCAGCTTGGGGTGAGGAAATTCAACCTCTTTTTTTAATGGAGACGCCACCGAGTTCAGTATTGGGTCCGTCTACAAATTCAGTGCGCCGGTTCAGATGGAAGAAATCCCGGAACAGCTCCACAGTTGGCTCTTCTTGGAGGTACGCTTCACAGAAAACTTGAAAGTTGCATATATTAGATACCGAGTTGGGTCCAATATCTTGAGGGTGGAGTTGAAAGCTGGCAAGCACATCCCGGAAAAACTTTGACCCGGGCGGTTTGAAACCACGGCCTATGTGATCAACAAACACAACTACCTCACCCTGCTTAGGGGTGGGAGGATTTTCCGGCCCAGGAACTCACCACCGGATCTCATTCTTCTTTAGTAAGGTTCCGATCTTGACCATTCCATTTAGTTGCTCCTCGATAACCCGAGAGGAAGCCTAGTTGCAGGAATAAAACTGTTTGGCCATTGCAAGTGAAAAGCTGAAAAGAAATACCGGTTTACATTTCATTCATGGTAGTGCATAAGGTGCAACGGGATAAAGAAATCCAAGTATGTAAATTTCGTAAACCGGAGGCTGATACAATGATGAATGCCAAAGCGATAAACGGAACAAAGGTATACGCATACTGCTAAACCGGAGTATGGCAACGAAGATAATGGGATTGCCGGTTTACAAGGGGACTAATGGTATGTGATAGATTGCTTTCTACAAGGGTAAACCGCCTATGTGGTAAAGAAGATACAGATCTAAGGCAAGAACGACTAAATAAGGTAAAACAGGTTTCACAAGATTACATGAAAATTTTGGATCTACTTTAAGACATGAAAAGCAAAAAGATTTAGACCTAAAAATATTGGTCCCGAAGCGGTTCACAAAGGTCCAGATCAGTTTTTATGCGCATAAGGGTTTTTTGTGATAGCAGAAGATAAGGAATGTTGTAGCTGTTACACGGAATACATCAAGCTGGAGGTTTTTATCCATGGACTAAGGAGGAACAGGGAAGAACAGTGCCGGAGCTTCGATGAACAATGAAACCCTAGATAGATCTACAGAGGAGGAAAGCGAAAGACTTACAGCGGCTGTTGAAGCAGCGGAGGTACGCCGCGGCTCTCTGGTGCAACCAGGTCAATGCAGCGGCCAACGGAGAGGCGGAAGCGAAGCTCGGCGACGGCGGCGGCGCTCGGGTGCAGAGGCGTCGCGAGGAGGAAGAAGAAGCGAAGAGACGTAGGGGAAAAAAGGAAACGACCCGTGGCCCTGTTTATAAGGTAAAGGGGAAGGTAACAGGCGCGAGGATCAAGGGGTCAAAATATTGGATACCTAACAGGAGCGGTCGCCTCGATTGTCGGAGGCTCATTAACTGAAGGTGAGATGTACCATTTTTAAATAACAAGATGGCGTCATGGCGATTTAACATGATCCTGGAGTATGACGTCACAACGTTTTACAAGATTAAGGTGAAGGTGAAAGGGAAGAATTTTTCTAAGTGTTGAAGATTGACATGAACAAGTTCAAATCAATCTGGGGCCTAATGTTGGTGATATTACTACTGGACGTAAACCGGCCAGGAGTAGCCGGATTAACTCCAAGAAGATCAGAAGCCCATGAAGACGTAAAGATGGTGGCGCTTTACGAAGGCCCAAAGGCCCAAAGGCGAATTAATGCCTGTAGATGTAAATCGACTTTCTCATGTAACTTACATTGTAAGATAGGAAGGATAGAGACCGAGCCGGACACGTTTATGATCCGGCCTCGGGACTCTGTAAACCGGCGGACGTCAACCTGTGTATATAAAGGAACGACCCGACAACGGTTTAAAGACAACAGACAACAACTCGAGAGCCAGGCAAAGCGGATTCGCTCCTTGGTCATCAAAACCCTAGCAATACCAACACGACTAGACGTAGGCTTTTATCTTCATCGAAGGGGCCAAACTAGTATAAAAAACTCTCGTGTCCCTTGTCCGATTTAACCCCTTTAAGCTAACCGTAGCGATGGCTCCACGACTAAGTCCTTTCACGAGGACATCTGCCGTGACAAACCCACGACACTAGGGTTTGTCGGCGACGGGGGAGCGAGCTTGCCTAGATGTGGACGGCGAGTTTGGATGAGGACGGCTCCGCCGCACGGTCTGCTTAAAAAAGTGCGACCGCCGTCGCTGACGCGTGGACCCGTGGTCATAAATTAAGCTGACCGCATGACATCGGGTAGTTGAGCGGCCGCCAGGTGGGGACGCGGCGGACAGTGAGAAGACGCGTGTGACGTCCGTTGAACGTCCGCGCCGACGCATTTAGGACGCAAATTTGGGCCGCAAATGCGTTGGCGCGGACGCGAAACAGACATGATTTGGGTTTGGGTCGGTGCGTTGGGCCATTATTTTTACCCATGCCGACCCGAAAAAACGCGAGGAATAAAATGGGTCGCCCTATTAAAGTTGCTCTAATTGAAGCTTGTCCCAAAGCTACACGAACTGATCGAACCCCATTGGAGTTGCTCTAATAGAAGCTTGTCCCAAAGCTACACGAACTGATCGAGCTCTCTTCTCTGGGGCTACCAATTCTTCGCAAACCCCTCAGCCGCCGGCCTTTCAGTCAGCGCGCCCTGGACCCCTCTGGGACTTCCTTCGAGCAAGCAGGTAAGCATCATCGGTGCCCTAAATTTGGATACGATTCAGAACTGAGAGCGAAAGCGCATCCGTAGTCCGGCATATGCTGTCTGTCCCTGTCTGCTGCTGAAGTCCGTCCCGGTGTTAAATTTCTGTCCGCATAACCGGCCGGTGTGTCGAATTTTGTCAAGTCATATGACAAGAATTTCTCTTCTTTTTTGGCTACGAATCACCAAGCTGAGAGAGACACACCTCCGTATTCTTTACCATGAATCGTCAAGAAATGTCACGAGGTTCAAACCGGGCAAAGCACTAAGGTGCACTTGACAAGAAACGGGAATGGAAACAAAAGCATGGCCACACTTTTGATGCGTGGCACCTAATGCTGACCTTTGAAAGCTGGAAGCATATTCCTGCAGGCCAAGCCGCAGGTTCTCCCCTGAATCTGCTTGCCACAGCCACATCTTCACGACCCTTCTGCAGCACACAAGAGATGCCGTGGTATGACCATCGCGCAGCCAAAAGGGACCTAATCGTCAGGATTCAGCAGCCAAGAAACAACGAGGATACAGGGTTGTTCCCTCGTTTTGCCGCATCATCATCATCATCCTTAGTCCCATGGTTCAGGTGTGATTCAGTGATGGTTCAGGTGGGATCCTTAGTCCCAAATCTGTGATCGATACTGATGGCTTTTGCTGCTATTGGGCTGCAGGGAGTTATCATGCACAGCTTAGGAAGCACAATTCTTCTTCTTCTGGTAATACTATGTGTGGTGTTGCTGTTAGAAGGGGCAGCAGCTTGCTCAGGCGGGCGATGCGAGGTCGGTCACGTTTCTATCTGTCTATCCTCCTCGCCGGCCTTGCCATGACCGTGAGATATTTCTTCTGGAGATATAATAGAGGTCTGGTCTGACGCTGGGATTTGCAGCTCGGCGACCGATGCTCGTCAGAAGCCGACTGCGGGTCCGAGCTCTACTGCTACAACTGCTGGATCGAGTTCGCCGGCAAAAGGTGCGTCCGGACGACGGTCGCCGACCCGTTCAAGATAGCTGTGAGTGGTGGACTCGTGCTACTCTGCCATTGCTCTGTTTTCTTCTACTCATCTCCATTTCTGCAACTGTTCGTTATCTAGTGCTGCTCATCTTTCATTCCTTATTAGGATACATCGTTGCCGTTCAACAAGTACGCGTTCCTGACGACGCACAACTCGTTCTCGATCCGCGGCGAGCCGTCCCACACCGGAGTCCCGCGGATCACGCTTTACAACCAGGACGATTCGGTCACCGATCAACTGAATGTCTGAATGTGACCCATCACTACTTCAAATTTGCTGGTAATTTCAGTCAGTCAGTTCTTGGATTCTGACTGAACTGCGCGGTCCGCCTTCCGCAGAACGGAGTCCGGGCGCTGATGCTGGACGTGTACGACTTCCGCGACGACATTTGGCTTTGCCACTCAAAGGGAGGGAAGTGCTTCGACTTCACGGCGTTCGTGAGTAAATTGAACTTGACTAGTGTTCTAGGACGGCATTGGAACTGAAGATTGTAGTATCATCGGTGATTCTGCAGGAGCCGGCCATCGGCACCATGATGGAGGTCGAGGCGTTCTTGTCGGCGAACCCGTCGGAGATCGTGACGCTGATCCTGGAGGACTATGTCAGCGCTGACCACGGCCTGTCCAAGCTGTTCGACAGCGCGGGCCTGACCAAGTACTGGTTCCCGGTGTCGAGCATGCCGCGGGACGGCGGCGACTGGCCTCGCGTCCGCGACATGATCAGGCGCAACCACCGCCTCCTCGTCTTCACCTCCGACGAGATGAAGCAGCGCGCCGAGGGGATCGCGTACCAGTGGAACTTCATGGTCGAAAACCAGTGTAAGATTCAGCGGTGGGAATTTCTCAGAACGAAGCCGAGATGCTGATCATGTGGTGGCGCATGCAGACGGCGATGGCGGGATGAGCTCTCGCGCGTGCCACAGGCGCGCCGAGTCCCTGGCCCTCGACAACCGGACGAGGTCGCTGGTCCTGGTGAACTACTTTCACACGGTGCCGCTCCGGGTGACGGCGTGCGTGGAGCACTCGCTGGGGCTCGCGGACGTGCTCCGGGCGTGCCACGCCGCCGCCGCCGACCGCTGGGCCAACTTCCTGGCCGTCGATTACTACAAGGTACCGCGCGCGCTACTTTGCCTGTACTAATCCGTGGAATGCCTCAAACTTGTTCGGTTTCAGAGAAGCGACGGCGGCGGCGTGTTCGAGGCCACGGACATGCTCAACGGGATGCTCATCTGCGGCCGCGACGACGTGCGCGCGTGCACGGTGAGATCTCCGTTTTTCTCCTTCCTCCGGTAAATAATCGAGTGAAAATCGTGACGAGCAGCTTTGTTTGCGTGCCTTCTTGCTGCTGCAGAAACGAACTCTGAAGGACGTGCTGTATGGCCTGCTCGGCAAGGCTGGGCTGATGCCGGGTCACGGTGGGACGACGAGGACATGAGAAGTCGTTCGGTTCTTGTTGGTTGTGCTTGTCATGAACTCATGTCGCGTGTGCAGCAATGCGTGAGAGATTGGATTGGGTGCCAGGGAGGACGGACAGGACCAGCCTTGCTGCGCTCGTGCACCGGTGCACGCCGGCCGTGAGAGCGCAACTACTGCTGGTGGATGCTAGTACTCCATTGTACTGCTGGTACTGACACTGATATTGTCGAGAGAGAAAAGTTGTTGCTCCATGCAGACGTTGGATAGGTGCGGGTGGGATCGGGACATTCGTGGACATTTGTGGTATGGTACTGATACTGCTGGTACTGTCCAGAGAGAAAAGTTGTTGATTCATGCAGACTTGTCATTAGCCAGACTTGTTTAGCAAAAAGTAAAAAAAAGGTTTTAGAGAAACTAGTATAAATGCCCATGCGTTGCACCGGGCAAAAAAAATCTTTAAAAACTACTTTGTCTCTCACTATGTGCCACTTTCAGTATGCTCATTGTCAACGAAGGGCGTGTGGATCTTTTTCCCCGCCGGGTCTTCTGGATCTATTATGTTTAGGTTTCCAGGGGATCTGTCCAAATTCAACCAGTTTTTGTGGTCTTCGGAGTTTCTACATGCCATCTTATGGTCTACATCAACAACTTGCCAGCCCATTCTTCCATGTTTGTAAGGACACGTGTTACTTAATCTTTGGCCTTAGGCCTTTTTGCAAGTAAAAGTAAAAGAAAAGGCTTTAGAGAAAGATGTTTACGAGAACAAGGAGAATTGGTCATCAGACGATTTCCTCTAAATTATATGTACATCCCGTAAAACGGCTTTTAAGAAAAGCTTTTTAGATGAGCGATTGGAGTTGCTCTAAGGCCTCACAGGACCAACGTACCAAACAGCCGACATCTTAGAAGTGTAGATCAAAATGATCCAAACTATAGACATACGAACAAATACCGGGCCAAGTCAATTCCTTCGAAGACAAACACTGATAGTATCCCATGAGATCCGCCGGAGATACACCTTCACACGTCCTCCAACTATGTTAGACACACCTTTAGGACGGGGCTAGAGATAAAAAAAAACTTCATCTTCAAGGAGCCACCGCCGCCTTCTTTCTTGAGCAAGACAAACATCTATCTATGCGTACCAATAAAGTATGATATGATGCGTTTCTCCATTTTTTGGCTTGTTCACCCACACTATAAATTTCCGGTCCTCCAAAATAATGATTTGTTTTTGTTCACAATGTTGTTACCATTCTTTTTACCCATCAATTGTTGCTTTTTCCTTCGAGCGTGCTGGCTGATATCTATTGGGCCTCACTCGTCGCTCAAACAAAGCCGGCGCAGCAACACAGTCAGGAAAAACGAGGCAAAAATAATTGTTCGAGTGTAAGACATGAACTTGTGACCTACCATCCTATTCCTAAATGTGCAGCAAAGTGAGCTAGCTATCGTGTATGCAGAAAAGATGAGGTTTCCAATTTTTGATATACTCATATTGGACGACCTTGGTCAGGCCCGCGCTGTGGAACAGCTTGGACAGTACGTGTGCGGTGTGCCATATTGGATGGATTCCCATGTACGAATCTCTATGGCTACACAAGGAGTGAACATCAGGTCGTCCTTTCAGCTATTGAACTGTCCCACCTTGCTTTCTTACACCGAATCGCATCAATTTATATATGTCTATGAATTAAAATTAATAAGCCGCCTCAAGGAGTATGTCTCATTTGGTCACAATATGAGCACACTCTTGTGTGAGGAAGGAAGAAATTAAATCCCGCTATTATGAGTTGTTGAGCACGAAGGGAAACAATTACTTGCGTGAGAAGAATGAAATAAATTCGGCAGCAAAAATGAATAAATTAGAAGAATGAATAAATAAATTCCATTCATTAAATCCTCTTATGAGCAGGAAGGAAAAGAATTCAAAGAAGAAATAACTTCGTATTATGAGCAATTGAGCACGTAGAATTTTTTTAAGAGATATGCATTTGGCAGGAAAGAATGGAACTAGAAGGACTCTGGGATGAGAGAGAGGACCCATTAAATAAACGGGCTTGCATGCTAAAACTAACTCGACTCAGATTTAACCAAGTCTCAGTTCACCTTGCAACATTTTGTCCCATCGTTTGCAACATTTATTTCTACCGGTTGCAGCATCTGTCTTGCTAGTTGTAGCATGCCATCCCTCGTCGATTGTAGCACGTCATCTTATCACTCGCAACATCCTCCATTGAAGGTTGTAGCATTTTAGTCAGAATGGTTGCAGCATATGTTGGAGTTGCTTGTAGTACCGTTGCAATATTTTTCCTCGCCGTTTGCAACATCCAGTCGTGCCGATCGTAGCACCACAACTACGCTCACGTCACTCGACTGAGACTTCGTTAAATCTTAGTCCATCGAGTCTAGACAACCCTTAAATAAATGAGGTCATCACACACGCTAAGTAACCTACATGTACCCGCACAAAAATAACTTGCATGTATGTTGCGTACTCCATTTCCTGATAATGTTGTTTCGAATTTCATGTGGTACATATAAATTATGCTTGGTTATGTTTATATGGAGTAAGGAATTATTTAGGGCAGTGTGGAAGTTAAGTTTTTTTCAAGGGAAGTGCGAAAGTAAAGTTAACAGTTGATTGATTTGTAGCTAATGGAAATGAACTCCGTGAATATTAATTTTCACTTTTATGCTTGATGGTTAGAACAACAAGTTTACTCCCACATTGCTTTGTCATGGAGTTATCATCATGTAATAATAATGATTACTATGGATGTGAGAGCATGTTGTGAGAAGACCAAAATTATAATGTTGGGGAATCAGTGTTGACATCACGTATATGTAAGTTCAGGATGCTCACCTGTTTTGTTTTTTAAACTATGTTTTGTTGGCCATGGCAGAAGAACACGACACAATTCGCTACCGGAAACACGCCCAAGTTCAAGGTAGAGACGAAGAAGGTGACGACAATGAAGTGTATGCAACTATGTTCAGTCAAGAAGTTGATAGCCTCCATTTCAAAAGAAGAAGAAGAAGAAGAAGAAGAAGAAGAAGAAGTTGATATCCTCACACCTTAACATAATCTGCATTCAGAATTATAATTGTGTGCGGTCAATAAGGAAATTCACCGCCTGATATGTCAAAGACATGATTAGTGTTGAACCACGTGAAGAGGAATGTGACGGTTGCAACACATAAGGAATTACAAGTCGATGCAGGGAGGGGCTCGTGAAATCGGCATAGTAGAGTGTAATGACTTAGCTCACCGCCTCCAGATTGATCACATTTGTTGTAAATAGGTAGACAACTGACCACCATCAACGATGGTGACAAAGAGAAGAAGTGGCAATATAGATGACTTGCTAGAAGTATGTGAGAGCTAAGTTTTCTCATTGCAATGCACGAGCATCTGTGCTAGTCCCAACGAAAGCTAAAAAAATTCAAAACGAAGTGTTCTCTATCGGCAAAGGCCGAGATCCATCACACCTCCATAGATTTATAGGCACAAGATACAAGGCAGACCGGCAGCAGCGGGAGGCAGGGGAAACCCTACCGCCCTGTGCGCCCGAGACACGAGCGAAGGGGTACAGGGAGTCCTATGCTAGCTGGTGACGGTACGTTAAACTTGTCTTTCAACCCCGCCCTGGCGATCACGAACGTGTAAGATGAACAAAGGGATTAAGGGAAGAATCCCCGATCGAGAAATTGAGAATCGCAGTACGATTCCTCAACGCACTCCGGCGTACGTAGGATCTCACAAAGAAACCATTTCAATAACTAGCGCGTACTACTACTACTACATCCAGCGAAGATGCCCTCTCTCGTGCACACAAGCTGCTGTAACGTACTGATTTGAAAGCTCTTCCGTGCTTTAACGTACAGAGGGGGAAAGGTGCCCTCCCTTCCCTTGTAATGTGTGATCTTCAAGTAATCGAACTGGCACTCGAGGTGCACGACGCTAAAGTTATGGGATTGTTTTAAAGTAAAATCCCCGTAGCTTTTCTCTGTACGCAAACATCCGGTAGATTTGGCACTTTTTGGTACTATTGTACTAGTAGATGAATGCGCGTGCTACGGGCGACCACTCATGCACAGTAATAATGTATTCATTGGCTATTTCAAATTATTAAGCATGCATTTGCATTATTATAAAACCTTAAATGATAATAAAGCGCACTGGAATAAATAAATGCCTAAAACATAAATCAACGCATTGAAGCCTGTTAATTTTTTTTTGACCCGGTAGCGAAAATCCCTTTAATGATAATGGTAGTTTTCTAAGGGGATAAAACAACCTGGGACGGAGCCCATTATTGAATTGAATTCAATTTGGGCCCTACCGCTGTCTGTGCTCCGCTCAAATGACCGATCTGAGGGATCATCGCAACAGAAACCCAAGCAACTATTTCCCTTGATTTTTCGGATCAAGCCAAACAGAGGCGGTGTCGACTGTCTATTTGCTTGTCGGCGACTACTACGCGCTTGGAGCTTGATCTACCGCAGAGGAACGCGAGGGCCGCAACTACTTGATGACAATCGCGGAAATGGCACAGAGGCATTCATGCCATGATAGAGTTGGTGGCGAGCGTGGTGACGTGGTGAGCCACTAAAGGGAGAGCGCTGGGTCGAGGTGCGGGCAGGCGGTGCGGCAGCCCCGTCGGCCATGAGCTGACGATAGTAACAACGCATGGCATGGTGGCTATTGTTTTTTTTTTTTGAGGAATTAGCATGGAGGCTGCGTGGGGAGGGAAGGTTGGGCCACTAAGGTATAATGTTTCCATGTCAAACTTTAGTTTAGGAAGATGTGATTTCTTGTGGGCATGAAATGCCTCCTTTTTCATGCACACAAGTACATCTAAACCATGCCCGTTGTATATTACCACGATTGCTCTCTGAAATGAAAAAAAATAAACTGTAGCTACAAAACAGGCGATGAATGCCGTCGCCATCACTTCCCACTCCGGCTTCGCCGACCCGACGAGGTGTCATCTTCTCTCCCTCCGTTCGAGCTAGCTAGGAGTCTGCTATGGAGGTGCTTCGTGCGTTATCTTCCACTACTCCGGCACCAGGGGGTGCGCCGGCTTCCAGACTTATGGAGGCCGAAGGGCAGCCCCCTCTTTCTTCTTCTTCGACGCTGCAACAGCCATCTGTGCCTTGCGGAGTCGACGGGATGGGCTTCGAGGCCGATGTTACTCCTTCACCGTTGAGGCGCAGCGGGCGTCATCATGTTGGGGCTGACGGATCCGCAGTCACCGACGATGATTCTTTGGTGAAGGCCATGCGTAGGACTGCTGCTCGCAACCTCGACTTCGAAGGTTATCCATGTTTGTACACGATGGCTCCGCACGTGGTCTATCCTGCAGAAGCCGGAGGACAGGGACCTTTTTATGATGGCGTCTACACGGAAGCATACGGCCAGGAAGGTTTTCTACCCACATGCATGGCGGTGTGATTTACGGATAGGGTCTACCGCTTCCTAGGCTGGACATGATTTATTGCTTGGCTTTGTATCGAATTATTTCAATTTAGAGTGTCGTGAACTTTTTGCCTGTGCATCTAACTATGCAGAGGCTGGACTTTCTTTCAATATGACTGTATCATCTCGATATATCTATTCAATGAAAAGTCCTTTATCGAAAAAAGCTACAAAACAGGCAACTAAATCACCGTGATTGCTTCATGAGAAATACCCGAAGGTTAAGTTATTTTCGGAAGATGTAAAATGTAAATAAATTGCCATGATTTATTGGTTTACCAAACAGAAAGTAGGTTACCCCACCCGATTGATATGCATCAATTGCATTACCAATTTGATTTGAGGATAATCGGACAAGGTAAAAAAAACTGGATGTAGAGGTTGGGGTGAGTGTTTCGTGAATGAAAGATAAGACAGACAACAAAACGTTAAGTTCTTTTTAAGTAGGCGAGATGAGATGCTGGCGCCTTGTCCACAGCTAAATCAAGAACTATTTCTGTTGCCTAGGACTTTGAAGTTACTGATTGGTAATTTAAATGATGTGGCATAGAATTAAATGAAAAAAAAGAGAATTGAGTATTATATTATGATACCGTATCATAATAAATACTATACTACTATGTGTCATCCATGCCAATAAACAAAATTATATACGATAATACTATTATGCATTACAAAGCTAGTATCATACATCAGTATCATAGATATGATACTAATTTATGATATTACCCATTACAAGCAGCCTAATCTCATAAACATGAGCTGACATCATATCATTTGTTGCTCTGGGAAGTCTGACTGATTCACCAAGGACCACACTGAGACTGCATGCATACTGCTCACTTCCATGACAAGCAAAGGGAAAAAGGCAAAAAGGAGCAGCCCACACCGGCCGCGGCCGGTCCACTCTGTCCGGCCCAGCCGGCCCGGGCCTGCACTAAACCCCCGCCCGGCCTCCTCCATCCTTATATACCCTGTCCGTTTCCCACACCTCTCCGCACCCCGGCCGACCACCGCCTGCCCGTCCCCTGCCCGCCTCCTCCGCCTCGCCGCGATGGCCGCCCCGACGACGCCGCTGCTCAAGGACAAGCTGGACATCGTCATCCCGACGATCCGCAACCTCGACTTCCTGGAGATGTGGCGGCCCTTCTTCCAGCCCTACCACCTCATCATCGTGCAGGACGGCGACCCGGCCAAGGTCATCAAGGTGCCCGAGGGCTTCGACTACGAGCTCTACAACCGCAACGACGTCAACCGCATCCTCGGCCCCAAGGCCTCCTGCATCTCCTTCAAGGACTCGGCCTGCCGCTGCTTCGGATACATGGTCTCCAAGAAGAAGTACATCTACACCATCGACGACGACTGCTTCGTGAGTGCTCTGCTCTCTCGCCGTCTCGCTTACGAAATCTTCCGATGTAGTTGTGTGATTTGGCTCGAGCGCGCTGGATCGCGTCCGAATTTGGTCGGAATTATGCAGTGTCCTGCACTGTGTGATTTTGTCACGGGACGGGAGGTGGATTTTGGTGTGGGTGGGGCTCAGATCTGGTTGGGGGAATTGAGGAGAAACGCGAGATCTCTCATTAATTTCTTCGTGGGGAGGGTGCTGCATTACATTGTTACTCGTGTCAGTTATGATCGCCCAGTTCACTCGCGTGTAAAATCACGTGATTCGTAGCCTGTAATCTGGGTAGTTTTTTTTGAGAGGAAGTGATCTGGGTAGGTAAATGCAAATTTTCACCAGATGACTGACTGATATATCTAGTTGGCACTGTATAGCGTGATAGTCGCATCTATAGATCTAACAATGTTAGTTCAGTTTTGGATATCAATATGAAATACATACGGACTGAAATGAGCGAACAAACACACTAAAATGTGTCTATACATTCAGAAAAAAGTTAAAACATCTTATATTTGTGAACGGAGGGAGTATGAGGCATTGGAGGTGGCCACACTGGTTTGGTCCTGTGTTGCTTGCAGTTGGATGGGTATGAGGTGGAGTTGTAAGCTATGGATATGTGGTGTTGGTAGTTTGTTACCCCACAATTGTGGTAGGATTAATAATTTCTGATATAACAATGCAACCGTACAATTGTAAGTATCGCCTGCCGCCTTACTTTGTCACTTATGCCGATGCATCTTTTGCTTGTGTCTGAGGGTCCTCATCAGTACTTTTAGCTTTGGGATAAATGATTGTCTAACAATTTTGAAATGATTGCATCTTGTGTGGATCGATCCGGAGCCTAAAGTGATGGCATATATGGACTGAGCGATAGATGTGACCATCCTTTTTCTTTAATGGGCTACATACCTTCTTCTAGTTGGATTTATCTCTAGTTATAAAACATACCTTGGCGCGAGGTGTTTGTTTTGACAGCTACCTTGACACAAGGTATGTAAAATAACAATTGTGTATTCACGTGAGGGTCCCACCTACTTGCTAAATATTTTAATTTTGTTGGATCTCTGAGATGGCCTATGAAGCAGAGATCTAGTACAAAAGCAAAGTTCTAACTGTAAGAATCGGTCTCTGGCCTGCATTTGTCATTCATTTACCTAGAAAATAGTACACCATATTCTCTTTCATGGCATCACCTGCAGTCAAGGGGGTTCTGTAATAGTTTTCTAGTTTAGTTGACAGACATGCTAGCACACACGCCATTGTTTTGGTCTCCCATTCTTAATTGGTAGGTATATTTGGTGATGCAGCAGATGCCATGCCATTAGCCCATTGCTAACCTATTATGTTCACAAAATCTCAGGTTGCTAAGGACCCATCAGGAAAGGACATCAATGCACTCGAGCAGCACATCAAGAATCTTCTGAGCCCTTCAACTCCATTTTTCTTCAATACTCTGTACGACCCTTACCGTGAGGGTGCTGATTTTGTTCGTGGGTACCCCTTCAGCCTTCGCGAGGGTGCCCCGACTGCTGTTTCTCATGGGCTTTGGCTCAACATTCCAGACTATGATGCCCCTACCCAGCTTGTGAAGCCTCGTGAGAGAAATAACAGGTGAGAATTTTACATTTGGCACTTCAATATTTTAAACAATCTCTTCTTTCTGATCTGATGTTTCTTTCTTGGGATCAGGTATGTTGATGCTGTTCTTACAATCCCGAAGGGTACCTTGTTTCCAATGTGTGGAATGAACCTCGCGTTTGACCGCGAGCTCATTGGTCCTGCAATGTACTTTGGCCTTATGGGTGATGGCCAGCCTATTGGTCGCTACGATGATATGTGGGCTGGATGGTGCACCAAGGTACATTCTGTCATTTTCTTTGAAACTGTATTGGTGTTATGTCTGTGAATGCAAACTGAACATGTTGGTTGGTTGGCATGGACAATTAGTTATATCTAGTGCAAGCGGATGCTAAATTGTATCTAGCCCGTTTCCAGTTCTTTGTACTGAATTATCTGTTCTCTGTCTACACAGGTGATTACTGATCATTTGAGCCTGGGTATTAAGACTGGTCTGCCCTACATCTGGCACAGCAAAGCAAGCAACCCATTTGTGAACCTAAAGAAGGAATACAACGGCATCTTCTGGCAGGAGGAGCTGATCCCCTTCTTCCAGTCCGTGACTCTCTCAAAGGAGGCCACCACTGTCCAGAAGTGTTACCTTGAGCTGGCCAAGCAGGTGAGGGCGAAGCTGGGCAAGGTGGATGGCTACTTCAACAAGCTTGCTGATGCCATGGTCACATGGATCGAGGCTTGGGATGAGCTCAACCCACCAAAGGGTGCAATTACCACCACCAACGGCCCTGCTCTGAAGAGCAAGTGAGACTGTGAGAGGCAGTAGCATACATATACAGTTCGCTTGTTCGTGTGAACTATCCATACTGAAATACTCCTGTTTTGGTTAGTGCCGATGAGATGAGAAATATCACTTCGTTGTAACTTAAAGTTTACCTTCTTCCCTGGACAACTGCCCTGGTGGTTTTAGGGAATTTACATTTTTGCTTGTGTTGGGACAGTTGTATTGTCGGAATCGGATCACCTTCAAATAGAATAAAGTTACTGGTTATGCCCATACATAGTTTCTTTTGTTTTTATCACATTACTTATACAGCCAAGAACCCTAGAGGATGTATTACTTGTTTCACGGATTAAGCATTATGTCACAGCTACATGTACGTTTCTTTAAGATTTTTTTTTGAAGATGTGCAATTCTGAATTCGTACTCATTCTTTAAACTCAGAGATGTTCATTCTGAACTCTATCTGGGCATCTTATTTTCAGAGAAAAGGGAGCACCCCCTGGTTTCATACATCCCAGCAGCTCTCGAATGCAGGTGCACGCGCAAGCATCAGAACTTTTTTTTTTTTTGCGAACACAAGCAACAGAACTAATATAGGAGTAGGTCTTAAACAGGACTTTAAAGATAGCCTAGCCAAAAAAAAAAGAATTTAAAGTTATCTACAAGTCGGCTGGCTACATACAGCACAAGAAAACAGAAGCCATATAAAGATCGCCAACAGGAGCGCTTCCAGGTCGTTTGTCGGCCCACAGGCCACATTGCCACAACATGTAGCACCAGCGTCGAGGACCAGTCAGGGCGTATCTCCTTTTGGCTTGGAACTCGCTTGTGCTTTCCAGGTTTGTAAACAACTCGACAAAGCACGGCAATAAAGTGGAAATCGTGTGATTTCTTAATGACCAGGTATATACTCCACAAGGCAGCAGTGGCACACATGTTGAGAGCAGGTCTGGAAACAAGTGCCCAAAGCAGAGCAATAGGGTGGAAATCTTGTCCAGTAGCAGAGACGCAACAGCCCGTGTAAGCACAAACATGTGATTTCTATTCAGGTATCTTTAGACTCTTCTAAAAAAAGGTATCTTGTAGAGAAACAAAAAGAAGATTGTTTCTGAACCTTCACATGCTATTCTGAACTGTTGTCGCCGTTGAGTTTCAGAAATTTTGGCCAGTTTGGATGCAGACGTCTGTTAATAGCGCACAGAAAAGAGCATCCATGCATGCCAGACGAGCGCCGTTGCCGGGGATCGAACCCGACAGGCGGGAATACTTACCACTATACTACAACGACTTTTGTTGTGTGCATTTGCAAAACATCTTATACATGATACGAGCACAGATCCAGATATAGATTTCCCTCCAATAATAAGCACAAGAACCGCTTGTATATATACCCAGCGTTTGCAGCTGCAGAGTATAATACCGTGGACTACCATTAAGAGAGCTTCAAAGTATAGAACAAGCAGAAAAAGGAAGAAACACGAATCGTTCACGCTGCTACGTATCATGGCACACTTCCCAGGTCCCATCGTCTCTGTGATCAGACGATCAACGCTAGTTATCGGGACAGTGTCAGAGCATCTCTAACAGACCCCTTAAAATGGGGCGGCTTATAAAATTGCGATGACTATATGGATTTGACCTTTTTTGGGGCCAGACCAGAGTCTGTATAGTCGTCCGGTCCGTAAATGATTTTATAGTGGCTTGCAACCCCCCTCCCCATGGTATATCTACTGGTTTGCGGCTGGAATATGGGTCGGAACCCTATCCGCGCGCCGCCGCAAATCCAAATCCCTCCCCTGATTTCTTGCCACCGACGACCTCAATCCCCCTTGATGTGGCGCGGAATGTGGTCGGCGGGCCGTGGCGCCAGTGGTGGCGACGACCCCGAGCGGAGGCGGTGCGTCCAAGCCGACGGCGCGAGGAAAATGGTCGGCGAAAGTACACAAACCGCGGGCTCTCGCCGCCACAGTCTATCCTCCGCCGCGAGACGGAGGAGTACGATCACAGGCAGGGGCTCCTCCATCGCAAGCTGTCCTGCGGCTCCTCCTCTACGGGCAGCTCCTTCGCCGGTGCCTCAAACTCCCGTACGCCGCTCACCCCGGTGAAAAGGGAGCCGGAGGAGCTCCCGCTACTCCGCGCGGTGAAGATGGAGCTCGATGAGGTGGAGCTGGAGTGGCGGGGCGTTGGCGTCGTCGGGCCGGAGGATTTCCTCCCCCCGGCAGTGGCCACCATCCTCGCGGGCAGTGCGCGGGAGGAGGAGGAATTGGCGCAGTGTTGCCGCCGGGAGGAGGAGGTCAATGACGTCCTGTTCGAGGAGGGCCTCGCGAGGGCGTGCAAAATCGAGGAGAAGGAGGGGGAGTGGCGCTGCGAACGCGAATCGCGGGACGCCAAGTACGTCGACCTCACCTCCGACACCAACGACGAGTAGTCCCGGCCGTCCCCGCAACATCGCCACCGCACCCGCGGGGCTAACCGGTGAGCCCTATTTTGGCCAGTTTTAGGGACAGGGTAGGCCGACGCGCTTTCCGCCGCCGATGAACTATATGTATGTATGAATGATCATCTTTTGTTTGTATGTATGAATGATCATCTCTAGTGTTTCTCGTTCATTTCTCGCGTGAAACATTTTTTCAGAAGTTTACAGTTTTACATACGGTTTCTAATCGGCTGTAGACAAATTCGCCCCTTATATCACCTCCGACGCGAACTGTAGACCGCTTATAAGGGCTAGCCTTATAAGGCCAACTCCAGCGCGCGACCCCATCCCGCCCGGGTGCGTCCGTTTGTGGTAGAACAGACGAATAGCGCAGCCCAACGCGCGGCCCGAAATGAACAAATGTCCGGATTTCGTCCGTTTTTTGACCCATTCACGGCACAAACTTGCACCGAATTTGGGCTGAAACGAACATTGCGCGGATGGGCTAGACGCACGCCCTTGTCCTCCCCGTGGCCCGCCTGTCGGGGACACTAGCACTTCATTCGCCTCCAACGCCTCCACCCGCTCTCCCTCGGCCCACCCCGCCGCCGGCGCCGCCACTATTCTCCGGCCGCCTCCTCACTGCTCACCCCCCGCCGTCCATACCAAACCACGTCTTGACATGGCCGCCACCACACCCGCGCTTTCATAGGAGTTTTGGCCGACGCTTGGAGGATACTACCTAGCTGATGGTATATATCCTCATTGGTCAACTTTTGTGAAGACAATCTCAAACCCCCAAGGTGAGAAGAGAAAGAGATTTGTCCAAATGCAAGAGAGTGCTAGAAAGGATGTGGAACGTGCTTTTGGTGTGCTTCAATCCCGATGAGGTATCGTCTGAAACCCTGCACTGACATGGGATGAAGGGAAGCTTTGGGAGGTGATGACTGCTTGTGTGATCATGCACAACATGATCGTCAAGGACGAGCGTGATAACAACATCTTCGACCAAGGATTTAATTTTCAAGGTTAAAATGTTGAGCCCCTGCACCAAGAACCGGCCACGTTTGAACAGTTCGCTCAATTTCATCATGAACTGCATGATTAACACACTCATTTGGATTTTCAAAATGACTTGGTTGAGCACATGTGGACTCACATTGTCAACCAATAGATGTATTGGTTCATTATTTTCATTCAAGACAATTTCGATTTAGTTGTAAAACTATTTTATTAGAGACAATTTTGATTGGGTTGTAAAACTATTTTATTTTCAGACAAGTAATTTTTGGAGGCGCAAACTAGTTTTGAGCATTAAAATATGAATATATGGCCATTTTTAGCCGTGACAGACAGGATGGGGCCAAAGAATGCGTCCGCGCGTTAGGTACACGACCACCGCATCCCAGGACAAGTCCGGATACGATCTCATTGCTCTACCCAAACGGACAGAATCCGGGCTAAACGGACGTCCGTTTGAGGTTATGCGCTGGAGTTGGCCTAAAGGGTCTCCTAAAGATGCTCTCACTGTCTAGGTTCTATTCGGCCATGGTGGTGATGCCCTGAGCACTCAGATGGATCACCATGGAACCAGGCCAGGAAAAATACCTCCATGTTTACCTATCTGACGAATATTTTTTGTGGCACATGCAGTCGCTAAGAACTGTACCCCTGCTGGGCCAGCAGTGAAGATGATGGCAGGGCAGGAAGGAAACATATTCAATCATCAGGACATCCAATGGCGCAACCAGCTGCACTGCTGCCCGTACTTTTCGCGCAGCTAGCGCCATGACGTGACGACTGACGACTGGAGGAGGGCCTGCCGTCTGCTTTAGCACCACTGCACCAGTAGCAGTGCTAGCAGCTGCGGCTGCGTTGGCGAGATTGGAATATCGGATTGGACATGGACGGCGCCGACAGAGGGAAGACTATTCGCCCGCGGCGGGGAACAAATGGTGGTGGCCGGCCACTTGAAAGCCCCGGGGGGCCTCACGCCTGACTGATATATTTGAGTGTTTGGTTCGTGTCCTGCGCCACAGCCAACGGGAAGCTATATATAGGAACTAGATCGTTAATGGCGCGCATTGCCGCGCCCGTCTAATTTTGCTCTATAATTTTTAGGGATAGGAAGAAATCTGTATATAATTGTTTACAATGCTTTGGAATGGTGTTGTGATTTCTTGCTTCTCATGCTTATCTCCTTCATTTTACAAATCATGGTATGTAATTGAAGAGAGGAATCCTACTGAATTGCAAGAAAGCAGTGTGTTGATCTTTTTTCTTAGGTCTGATGGACTTGTAGCTGGTTCATGTTTGGATCTGAGTGTATGAGTCTTAGGATGGTTGATGAATAGTTGGATACATGTTGTGATTGATCGTGACCACTTTTGCCTCCTACAAAAAGTTCTCTCACAAAGGCCCCCGTCACAAAATCTCAAAAATAGAAATATTGAGGAAAAACTAATATATTTGAGAAAATAAAATAGGCACTACAAATAAGGACAGACCCAGTGCATAGAAGCTCCCACACAAGGTGGGGTCTGGGGAGGGATTATAGGAACCTAGTCTTACCCCTGCAAAGTGCAATGCAGAGAGGCTGGTTCGAACCCAGGACCTCTTGGCACAAGTGGGGAGGACTTCACCACTGCGCCAGGCCTGCCCTCAGAATAGGCACTACAAATACTTCATAAATTTTTTACAACACATATTCTCGCCCGCAAGAGAATTTTACATTTAGCAATATTCATACCTGAAATTGGAAAATGATACTGTAGTAGTTTACCGAAAAATTGGCAATGTAGTATCTGATGGTCTAAACAATTATGAAGAAGCTAGGAAATGATCAGGTCACACTGACGAAAATGTTCAAGCCTGGAGAGCTGGAGAGTACAATCATCAGCATGCGAATTACACCGATAAAACAATAAGCTTCAGATAACAGTACATTTGGGTTCTAAACGATATGTTGATCGATCACAAAGCTAATAAATTATCAGGGTACACCGGTCAAAATGTGCAGGCGTGGTGAATTGGAGAGTATGTACTAATAAATTGCTAATATAAGCAGTGCTTCTACTAATATAATTATGAAGTGCACATGCTACCAAAATGTAAGTACACTGGAGAGATCATAAGTTTCAGACACGAGTCATTTTGTCTCGAAAAGTATCTACTCGATCGATAAAAAATCTAACAAATAATATAATGGCGTACTCACAATAATATTTGAGTCAAAGAAAACAAGATAAGCTTCAGATAACAGCATTCTGAAGTGGTGACGCGAACGCTGATCAAGAAATGAAATGGAAAATGAACAACAGAAAGCGCAAGGCATTACCTGCTTGCTCACCTTCCCAGCTGACGAATGATTTGCCGGCGATGGGTGGAATGTGCAGCGCACCCGCATGGCGAAGTCGAGCTGGATGCATCACTTGTGGCCTTCCTGGCCTCCTGCGTCAATCCAATCGGCACATCAGATTCAGAGGCAACGGACAAAGGAAATAAGATGCAGAAGGCCAGGAATCAAGAATTGCAAGATGCAGTGGACTAACTGAATCTTCAATTGCAAGATGGAGAAGAACAGGAGTGGTGAATCATTGTACCTGCTTGCCCTTTTCTACACTCCTACCTGACTCCTCCCCGGCCACGATGGGACGCGGGCGAGCTACGTAGTCCGTGAGGTCCTTGCTCTGGTCGTCGACAGCGACGTCCTCCTCCTCGGCGATGCAGAGGCTTTCGCTGTCAATGCTACTAACCCACTCGCTGACGTGGTCGCTCAGGGAGTTGTGGCGACCCACTGGTTTGGGACCTTGGTCGGTGGCGGCGAATCGTCTGCCATCTCCTTCTTTTTCTTGCGGCCGGCCCTCGTCGTGCGTGTCCGACGTGTACCCGCCGTCGGGGGATAGAGCCGCCGCCGCGCCATGCGCCTTTGCCATCCCCTCGATAGACTGGCTGGGTGCCTCTTCCGTTCCGTTAGGGGCTATGGAGGAAGTGTAGAGGGGAGGGGGTTGGACCATACCGGCGGAGAAGTAGTCCCGCAGCATCATGTCGCGGATCGACAGCGCATCGAGGAGGGAGTAACGCCGCCGCATCGAGAGGAGGAAGGACGGCTACGCGGAGGAACAGAGGGGAACTGTTCGGTCGGGGGCTGGGCAACGTGGGCTGTTAGCGTGGGAGTGGGAATAAGTGGGCCGGCCCAATTATGTACAGGAAGAGGAGGTTGCTCCGCGGAGCAGCGGCCCGCGAGACGGCGCGCGACGCGGGCGGGCGAGGAATGATGCCCGAATTTGATCTCGATCGTAGGTTCGAGGATCCGACGACAGAGACAGTTAGATCGCTGTGGAGGCTTATAGCTAGCTTCGTTATGCTGTTTCTCAATAGGAGGCGCTGCTCCTAGGGGAACATCCTCCTCTTCCGTTTTAAGTTTTAACCTTGTTCAGCGTAATACATAATTTTAAATAGCCGGCTATAGTTTTTTTATAGCCCCGCTATAGCCTTTTCAGTAGGGTGTCGTTAAATGATCGCCTTCATAAATAGCTCATTATAACTGATTTGGAGGCCCGGCGCTATTTCCTATAGCGCGCTCTTTAAAACATTGCCGCAATACAACTTCCATCGTCTCAACAGCCCGCTGAAAATGTTAGTTGTTTAATCCCCGATGCATCTTCTTGTTGCTGGGTGTTAGGTTTTTTCTTTCTTTTCTTGTTTTGCTGGGTGTTAGGTTTTTTCAGTTTCTCAGAGAATAAATGCATGCAATGTGAGCCTTGTTCAAGTGCATGGCCATAGATTTTGGATGTGTTTGGTTGGTTACTCGCATCGATTTTGGACACTTTGTGTCTCTGGCCCAACTCAACCTGACCGAGTGAATGCAGGTCAAAACCAAGTTTCACATATTGTTTGTTTGTCTGCATCCTCTCTGGCTTTGACTGAGTAGAAACATTAGAATTTGTGTTTGGTTGTCTGCATGTTCTACCCTAGATGTAAAGAGTTGTTGTTTGGTTAAATACTACACATGTGATGTGATAATCTCTTCTAGAAGTGGTGAGGTTACCAAAACACACACACACACACAACAACAACAACAACAACAACAACAACAACAACAACGGCATATATAGCGTAACCATAACGATAACATAAACCTTAAGCATAAGCGTAAACCATAAGAATAAGCACAACCAAAACCATAAGCATAACCTTAGTCATAGCATAGCCATCACCATAGCAGTTCAAACAGTATAGCATCACTACAATACCACATAGTCTTCAAAGTTGATTAACATAGCATAGATAACAATGATCGATCCTAAGCAACATCAGCAGCACCACCCTCAACAGCAACAACACCCTCATCAACACCTTCAACATCCATGTTGAATGCTTTGTGGTGCCGCAAGCAATTTGCCACAACCTGGTCGTTGAAGACGAGGACCCTCAAGTTCGAGCTCACCAACTTGAAGGTGACAATACTCTCGTCATGATCTCATGGGCTACACAGAAGGTGGCCCAACCCTTATCAAGGGTGAGCCTGCCATTGATCATCTTCGTGGTGACCTTCCAGGTGTTGCCGTTGTTCGTCGTCAGCCTGAACATCTCTAGGACGGGGATGAGTGATGAGTCCCTTTAGTGATCCGGTAAAGGAGCAGAAAGGTTCTCACCTTTTTCCCTAGAGGTGACCTTGAGTTATCGAACCCATGAGAGGAAGTGCGCCTTTAGCACAAGGGTTTTTAGCATGCTTTGCAAGAGTATTAAATTACAGTTTAACCATATCAAAATCAAGTTGCACAATCGAACACTTATATATAGAAATAGTCATGGTTATGAGGACTTATTCTTGCAACCATTTTTTCCGAACGAGATCATGATGATATTGGTTTGTGCTCTAAAAGTCACCCGTCAAGATGTGCTTGCAACATATCAAAGTGGGGGATCTGTCCAAATTATGTCTTGACCGTCACGCGTCCTACATCAAGAGTCAGTTGTCCAACTAAAGGTCCTATCCATCGCGCGAGGTTGCCTTAGTAATTAAGATAAAATTAGGCAAAAGCATCGGGCCTTTAATGACTACACCTCTTGTATTACCAGAGATAGGACTCACGCTATCATACTAAACCTTTATGTCACTGGTGTTCGGAATAGTGTTTTATGGTCTCTCTGCCCTTAGCCTCTCCGTGGCTCGATCTCTATGATTATAGGTACCTGCAGGGACAAAGATCGTGAACGAGACAAGAGCCAACTACATAGCAATTTTATTTCACACATTCAAGACATCCGATGAGTGATATTTTTACACTCATTTACCCTTTATATAAACCAAGATATTTCATTAAAACTAAGATATTTGCTCCGATATTGCTACTAATTACTAATGAATGAAAAGAATTCCACAAATCATCTCTTTGATGTGTTTCCATAGGAAATTGGCAAAAAGGGGAACAAATCAAGTGTGAACATGGGAAGTAGTGAAGGAAGAGATAGAAGAAATCAGGAGGAGGCGCACCATAAGACACAACACAAAAGACGTCGTTCCATATGACCGCGTCCGCTCGCATGAGCGGTCGTATGGCCTAGAAACCAAGGCATCTCGTCTAGCGGAACAACTTTTATAAAGGGGGCCATGTCGAAATGTGAATAGAACGTTCCATGATGATACATGTTTGTCCTAGTAGGTCACGTTTTCTGTCAGCATGTACATCCGTGACGATTTTATGACAGAATCAAGATAGTCATACCTGTGCTGTCATAGAAGTGTTCCATGACAATATTCAAATTATCATCACAGAAGTGTCCCCTTCCATGACGCTAAATGGCGCATCATGAAAGTGTTTTCGTCAAGAGTAACCGACACGTGGCATCCACCATAATGGGCCGCCGATAAGCTATCGGGTGCCGGTTTGGATTCGATAACCCATTAACAGCCCGGACCAAAGGCAATTTCCACGTGTCAAATTCTCATTCACCAACGGAACCACGTGTCAGCTCGGCGTTGCGACAAATGTTAACCGTCCAATGGACGGGAGGCACTAATGAAACATTGACACGTGGAATGGCCCAACTATGGCCCATTTAGGTTAAAAAGGCCGACCCATTTGACTTGGTCAAAAGTTAGTGGGTCGGCCCATGGAAAGCCTATTAACGGTCTGTTTGCATATAGCCCATTTACGGCCCGGTTACTCATGGCCCGTTATGGCCTTTCTGAATGCGGCCAATAGTGTCACGTGGGCTATCCAATATGATTCCAGCCCGTTGTCACTTTCGACCCATGTATGGCCCGCGACATCTTTTGGCCCATATGAGGCCTTTTGTATCTCTGGACCCTTTAACAGCCCGTGGTGATTCTAGCCCATAATGAGCATTAAATTGCTTTGGACCCAGTAATGGCCCATGATCTAGTTAGGCCATTTTGAAACCATGTTATCTTTTTGCCTTCTAAGGGCCCATAAATTCTTGGGATCATTTCCGACCCTTGATTACTTATGGTGCGTCACCGGACTGTTCTGCTAATGGGCCAAATTCAGCCCGTGGTTACAATCGGCTCGTTTGTGGCCCGTTAACCCATTGGGTCGTTTTCATCGCGTCATCTATTCCGCCCATTAACGACCCATTATATCTTTCTATAGGATTAAGCTCGTGTTATCTTCCGCTTGTTAACAACCCGCTATGGTTTAGGCCCATAAATTAACGGTTTCGATTTTGGCCCGTTTATAGCCCATACGGTCCGGTTTTGGCCCATGGATCCTATGGCATGTAGGAGGCCCATGGATCCCACGGCCCGTAGGAGGCCCATGGTTACTATGACAGATAGCAGACTCATAGTAATTGCAAGCCCATTACGGGGCCCATTATGGGCAGTGGCCCAGTCCCCTCGATGAAGGGCCCATGTCACTTTGTTCTACTACCTCCTTCCTGGTTTATTGGCCCCCTTCGCATTTTGTGCCAAAATTTGACTATTAATTTCACTAACAAGATGATATTGTATGTCACGAAAAATTATATCGTTGGATTCATGTTTGAACATAGTTTCTAATGATATTATTTTTTATGACATGCATTAAAATTTTGTTAGTTAAATTTAAGATCAAAACTTGGCATAGAATACGAAGGGGACTAATAAACCATGAGGGATGTAGTAGTTATTAATTATACACTGCTTATTTTGGCATATTTTGACCAAGTAACCTTGGGGGCGAGCCGTGCTAAGCAAATATACAACATACCAGGAAAAATGTAGCACACCGAAGCATATATTATAGGAAATTACATTCACGGGGCAATCAAAGATTGATGCTGATGCGAATAAATGAACAGAGGTTAACGATCTACAACCTCACAATCTGCAACCTCAGCGCAGATGATGCCCATAAGCATCTGAGCAAGTTCTTTCTTCTTTGTTATATTATCACTGAAATCATCGATCAGCTGTTGTTGTGCAAGAATGTGCACCTCTGATTCTTCCACTATTTCCATCATTGCTTCAGCCAGTAATTGGTTCACAAATATACATCTTTTCCATTATATTAGAGATAGAGGAAACTGAACAGATTTGGATTGTGATTTTGGCAGGCTTGTATCACTGATAGTGGAGAGTGTCTCTACCACTGCATCATAACTTAAATTAGGTGGGAAACTAAACAAATTAATCAAGAGTTATTGCCATATTACCTGTAGTAGATTTATTGGAGAGAAACAATGAGGTTGCCTTGCTGTCTTGAGACTTTGTCTTCTTATCTTCAGCAGCCTGCACCAAATTAACACAATATGGCACTGATATTATTGGCCATGTCAGTTAATAGGAAAGCAACATTGGCATAATGCACGTTTGGGCAACCAGACCACACCACCCTACACCAAATTAACACAATATGGCACTGCTATCATCGGCCAGGTAAGTTAATAGGAAAGCAACATTGACATAATAAACGATTGAACAACCAGACCACACCACTTGATTTTAGTAGTGTGCAATATATGATATAGTACAATCATGCAGCTCAGTATGCAAAACTACCAAGGTAGTTTTCCTTATAAAATCTACATTAGTGCCTTAATTATACATTTTCTACAAGTAAATTTAGATCATATAATTAGTGTA